CCAGATGCGAGTATTTCGAATATAAGAAAAATGAAGAGTGGAAAAAAAATTTCCTAAAATTCAGGATATGCAGATGCCAAAACTATTTAGTTAATTTAAGAATGCGTCTAAACTTTTCATTTAAACGCGATTTTGGAGTTGTTGTAAAACATTGCAAATATTTGGAAAGCTTTGAGTTCGGCGAAAGATATCTTACCCCGAGCGTACCGTACGAGATAATCTGTCAACTGCCCAAACTGCAACATCTGTTCATTTGGACTACGGGCCCACTGCGAGACCAGTTTTTGGATGCTCTTCAATCAAAGCCAGGCGCACCAATGCTCAGTCTTTCCATAAAGGGTTTACCTTTGCCCGTGGAACAAATGGAGCGAATCTGTGATATTGCCAGTCTTAAACAGCTTTGTGTATGCTGTGATACAGTGCCCAAAAAAGCCTTGTTAAAGCTTCAGCAGTTGGAATGTCTGCATCTGACTGTGCCTTCCATCAATGATGAACAGCTTCCTAAACTTGTACAAGGCCTACCCCATTTGCATACCCTAAATTTGCGAAACTGTTCATTAATTACAGAGCAGTTTGTGCTTGCGACAAGAGACTGGATGACCGCAAATTTGAAACTACGGAAAAAGCTAAAGATCTATGTGCAAGGATCAGCCATTAATTGGGAAAGTCTCGACACGAGCAACAAAGACGTTTTAGAAGTCATAAATAAGGAAGAGACGGAAATGGTTCCTTTGCAGGGTGAATTTAATCAGGCATATCAATAAGCACTTTAGTCAGCCGACGTAGTTAATGATTAAAAATGTATTCAAAATGATGCTTCTACAAAATTAATCAACACAAACAAAAACTTAAAAATGTTTCATAAAATTTAGAAAAATAATATTGAGATAATAATTTAACGAACTAAAACGAATATAAAATTCAACATTAAACTGACTGTCTATGCCACTGCATCAACTCAATATTCATTATTATTTAACCGGAACAGGGGCTTTATTTAGCCATTTATAGCCGTTTGTAGCGGTTTTTAGCAGAATTTTAGTAGTTAGTACTGCATACTTTCGTGCTGTCTACATAATCCGTTGAAATTCAAATCAAATTTGAAATATCTCGGGTACCATATGTCCGATTTCGAAATGATATACCACTTTCTTCTCGTACGGATCCCGACTATCGATTCTGAATTCTAAGAAATGGCCCAATTTAAGAAAAACTACTATGTTTTTTGCAAAAATATCGATGTTGGCTGAAAATGGCTGTGACCACGAGTCGAACGAGACCAATCTTTCCAGGATCGGGGCTTATTTGGCCGAGATACAGCGATTTAAAAAACGCGAAAAAATGCCGTTATAATTTTGAAGATTTTTCGTTTTTATCCGATAATTCGGCTAAAAATTGTCCGATTTTGGAAAGTTATACCTTTTTGAACTCGTACTGATCTCTGGAATCGACTTGCATACCACGTTTTTTGATTTTGTTTGGAAATCCAAAAATTGTGAAAAAAAAACAAAAAAACTTGGAACCAGAGGGCATACTTTTAGGACGCCATTAACTGAACAGTGATGTCAGAAAATAAATTCTAATTTTTCACTGCATTCTTTTAAGTGCACATAAATATTCGATGTCAGTTTGACCTGGCGCTCTTTTAGCGTGCCTGCAGCAAAAACTTCAGCTGGAGAGCAGAAGATGAGGCGTGGCACTGAAGGCGCGTGCCCAAGTGCCGCTTGTCTAGGACGCTGAAGACTCACAGAACGTCAAGTGAAATAAATTTCAATTCGTTTTGGCTAAACGACCAAAAACAAACACAGAAAATAAAGGCTTTTCAGAACTACTCAGAAGGAGAAGTGACAGTTGCTGCAACAAAACTACTCCTAAACGCTGTTTATTTTACAATTGTGTTGACAGTTTTGTTGCATATTGTTGTTGCAAATTTAATTCACACACGTCATCTTTATATTCACCAATTTATAGTTGTATATTACTTTGCTAATTGTAGGAACTACATGTAAGAGGTATAAATTAATTTATTTACATACACATATTATCTTATAGCTATCATCATCAAACCATAGCGACCATTTAAATATCAATTCATTTTTTTCCTTAACAATTTTACGGCATTTTTAAAAAGATAACCACTTTTGTGAGTTCAACGCTTTTTTTATGTGCATAAAAACTTTTTTAAATTTTATTCTTAAATCTATAAGAATAAATCGGTGTTAGTTTAATGCATCCATTTTACCTTAAAGTTTTGACTTGCCCTATTCGTACTTGCCGTTATATTTGATTTGAGAATACTTTTTATATTTTCATTAAATATATTTTTATTTATTTATTATGCACTTTTCATATAACGAAGTTGGGGTTTTTGTATTAGCTAAAAATAAAATCAAAATAAAATATTTAAAAATCAATTCATTTTATTATTAGATTATTTCTTTCTTATTTTCTGTGCAATACGGGAATTTTTAATTGTGTCCTGTCCAAAAAACCACATTTAAATCTTATTAAAAAATCTTAAAGCACAATTGATAACTTTTGAAATTTTAAAGTACTTTACACATTTACATTATTTTTGGCCTAGCCGTATTATTTGTTCTTTAGCATCCCAATAGATGCAGTCAAGCAAAATAAAAACTTGGCTTGGGTAGAATTTTAAGGAACCCTTTCAAATCTCTCGCAGACGCTCAGCTGCGCCATCAAGCATGATTCAAGGAGCACAGCCGCATTTGGCGTTAATTAGTTTGGCAACGCTGCGGGCGTGTGACTTTCACCAATCATTTACAACAGACCCTCAACCCTTGCCAGTTGCCCAATAAAAAAAAATTGTCAGGCTTCAGAGTTCGACTAGGCGATACCCTATAGTCAGTGCGAACTCTAGCATAATTTTTTAAAATAAAATAAACCGGCAAATAGAAAAATAAAATAAAAATGTCTAGCTTGGATGATTATATTCCCAAAGCGATTTTAGTATTCTTTTTTTTAATAACTGTCCAAAGTTATGGATATATATAAATAGTATCCATCACATCTTATCTACTCTGAGAATAAATTCCCTTATCCTAAAGTATCAATACAGAAACCATTTTTAATATTGCGGCTGTATTTATTGAACTAAGAGATAGATTTACTCTGCAAACCAAATATAACTCACAAATAATTTTTCTTCGATTCATCGTTAACTTGGTAAATAAAACTTTGGTAACTCACTCTCATTCTCTCTAAACTTGGTCTGATAAATATGGCTATTTTTGACGAAAACATATCTGTACATTTTGGAGAATCGAATATGCTGCTGTCAGGATTTTAGACTATTGTTTATTCTGTAATTTTATTTTATCCACTTGAGGTGCATAGGGTATAGGGTATAAAAATTCTGTTTATATGTACATTTTTTTTTTGCCCAGCCCAAAAACAATTTTCATTAACAGTCCGTCGTCGTTCCGTTCGTTCGGCAGACGCTGACAAGTTCAAGTCCCTCGATTCGAGCTCCGCCCAGCCCGTTTCTAGTCGTTTCTCTGATTACACATTTTAACGCCATTTTTGGCGCAACTTTTGCTGAGCTACTCGCAAAACCCTTTAGGCCAGACCAGAAAAAGTTTTTGGCCAGCACAAGAGGCAAGAAAAAAAATGTAAAGAATCTCAATGTAGGGGTTAACAAGCAAAATTTGATTTATTTGATGAGTTTCTCGTGTTGTTGCCGTCGACATCGCTTCAAAGACGCATTTAATGAGCATAAAAATGGCGGATGGAGTTTTGCTTGGGTTGGCGTGGCAGGAGCATTGAAGACATTTGGGAAATGAATTGCACAAAGCGATAGACGGAAAAGAAAAACTGTTAAAATAACCAAAGTTCGTAATAACTACAAAATAAGCACGAAGCACAATTGAGAATAATTATTCTGCATGCTTCCAGTGGAATGTACTCAGATAAAGATGACCCTGTCGAAATGTCAAAGAATATAATATTTATTATTCGAAATTTTTTATATTTTAGTGTCTAGCATTTTTTGAAATGGCACTTTTACATCATATTATGGCGTATCATATATTATCCTGAAAATACAAAAAATAGTGATTTTTGGCATTTGTTTTTTACCGTTTCCCCCATTGAAAATGGGTATATAACAGAAAGAAGCATCTCCGACCCCATAAAGAATATATATATATATATATGTATGTCCCTAATTTTGGTAAATAATAAGAGCTAAAGTCCCCACACTTGACATGTAGCTTCTAGAATAGTATACTATATATAGTAATACTGTATATATAGTATGATTTGCTTAGCTGCCTCGATACTTAGCTGCATCGGTAAGATAGCTGCATGAAATTTTCTTTCCGCTGCAATAAGAGCTTATATTGTTTGAAATAAATTACGTTAAGTGCATCTAACTTAACAGCCTTTTTCACTTAAGCACCTCATATATGCAGTAATTTTTCGCCAATTTCTATGAATATCATGTAAGTTAACTGCGCCATCTATGATCAGATGTGCTGATTTTGGATTTGTTTTTCTTATGTATACAATAAACTGTATTGAAATTGAATTAATAAAAACTATCAAATTTATTTATTAATCTTAGTACTGTTAAATAGAATTCAGTGCAACATAAAAAAGTCGAGGTTACTATGAAATCGATTCACTTTTAGGAAATAAAATAAATTAAGTTAACTGCCTTTTTAGGATAGCTACCTCTAATGTCTGTGCAAAGTACTCGAGGCAGCTAAGCAAATTATACTGTACATGAAGTATCTTTCATTTTATAGCTATCGCCACCTCCCCGCCAATTTATGCTGCCCATCAATATAAGCCACAATTAAAATGCAATTGACTTTTTGATAATACACAAATATTCTATAGTACGAGATGTAGAAAATTTCATCAAGATCGGTTAAGAAACACAGAAGTTGTTAAATAAAGCATGTTATTGCTGGCCTCGAGTTTGTAGCAGCAAGCAAAAATTCCAAGAATTTTTGTATACACACATGCGCGTCTGCTTTGACCTCTATCAACAACATTGCAATTGCAATGTCAACATTTAATAGTATATTTTAATATATATCCTTATGGAATAAAATGGATATATTATACAACTAATCAGGATCTCAGTCTCTCTTGAATCTGTCGGTCATTACTGCTGATCAGTTCGTCCAGTACTTCCATGATTGTGGGGCATTGCATAGATTAGTTTTCTCCAAAACTGGGGATCATCACGTCTCAGATACGTATTTAATTTCATGTAGGTTTTCAGCTCGGAGTCCAGGTCGTTAAAGTCTTCGACTTCTGGATACACGATTATAATCAGGCGTTTATACCGGTCGATAGAGGTAGCCTGAATGGCCATACGGAATTCGAAGCGACCCCAGGATGACTCCTTGAAATTCTTGGTCATCAGTATAATAATTCTTTTCGATTCCTCTATTGATTTTAAAATGCATGCCGGAATGGATTCGCCAATTAACCAGTCGCGTTGATAAAAACAAAGCTTGAATTCGCGAGAGCCCTTCTCCAGCTTTTCAACGTATTCTCCGACTAGTTCCAAGTCCTTGTGAGAAAATGCAAGAAATGCGTCAATTTCTAACGGTGTACTATTTTCGGGTTCCGGACGGGAAATGCAGCTTACGCAAAGATTTCTTTCATAAAGACATATAATAATGGATTTCTTAAAGTAGAAATATGTGATTATAATTATTATAATTGCGAATCCCAAAAGACTAGCAAAAATAAGCTTCATTTTAGAAAATCCGCAAATATCTCTTCTTTTTAAATATAACATCTTTCCAAAATGTATTTCATTGCATTTAATATTTTCACGATCCTCAATCAGATAAGAGAAATTGGCAACAAACGACACCAACGGCTCAGCATCGCAATTGCATATCCATGAATTGCCTGAAAGTCTAAGTCGTATTGTACCTGATCTCCTGGAGAGAAACTCGAGCACTTGCTTATCAAGAGTTTTCAAACTATTGTTGCTTACATCCAAATAGGTTAAATTAGATGGCAGTTGGGCCACTGTTAAATTTGCGATTCTGTTATTGGCCACATGCAGCTCTCGAAGATTGGCATATCCATATAACGTTGAGTTTGGCAATTCAGTCAGGATTTTGTTATTGAAGTACAATGATGCATTACCAATTATTGGGATAGGTAAATCTGGAATTAGTCCAAGTGGCTCAATAGAAGCGCAATCTATTTTAAATCGCATTTTTATGCGATCCAAAGTGCATATACAGCCAAAGGGACAGGTTTTGTTACTAATGTCTCTTTTGAAAATACAATCACTTGAGAGTTGAGTACAAATAAAGGCAGTTGTATTGTATTTATAAATCCAGTCGAAGTTTGTACTTTCAGATATAATATCAATTATGCCTAATTTTGAATATTTTTGAAGATATTGCATTCCAGATAAATCCTCTTTTTTGCTTGTAGAATTTGTAATTTCCAAATATTCCAAATTATTTTGTAATGTTTTAGAACTGAAAAGATATGTTATCGAAAAAAAAACATCTTAATCCCATATTCTCATTCATTGTTATAAGCAAACATTAATAAACATACCTGAGCCACTCAAACTGATCTATGCTTATCTCTCTCAGATGCAAAGATTTTAAGTTAATTAAATCTTTAAAATGGTCTGGAGTAAGGCCATAAACTTGAAAGTTTGCGAATATAATTTTTGATAAATTGCTCAGGCCTTCAAACATTTCTTTATGAATATCCAAGCCGATTTCATCATAATAATATTGAAAAGCATTCACTTGAAATAGTTCCAATTTGGGCATGCGTCTTAAAAACATTTTACTTAAAATAAATGTATTCAATTTATATTTAGATCGTCTCAAACTGACAGGTTTGTAAATCAATATATGCAGTTCTCTAACTTGTGGTACATTGGTGAAATTATAAAGTTCACACATGTTTGCATTCGAGGATTCTTCAACTTCCAGATATTTGTAACTTTTCAATTTATCATTAAAACTCTGACATCCCGCATGCGTTTGCCAACGTAGGTGCCTCAAGTTTGGCAAATTCGGAGTGGTGCGTAAGTCGTTATTATTAAATGTCTTTATACGCATTGAATTAACATGTGTATTATTGCAATTCCTTAAAATTATTTCGGATTTTTTAAATACTTCGCAATGCAGTGCGTTTTGTATATATCTTTGTTTTTCTGCAAAACAATAAAACGTACTGATAGCTTCTTTATCCACATAACAAGTACCCTCAAATTCAGTCAAATAGTATAATGGACAGGAGCACTTAAATCCGAGAGTGGCGCCCATTAAATTTAGCTCACACAAACTAACTCCACCATCAAATTGATTTTGTAGCGGGCATTCGCGGTTAAATATCAACCGATATGCGAAACAATAACTTGTGTAGACTGTTATTGAAGTGAAACCCGCATTAGCTTTATCGACTACAAAACATATGCAACAAAATTGAATTATTTTTAACCACATTTTATATTCGCTTATATTTCAGGTTTCACAGTCAAATTAGAACTAAGCCAACGACTGGCATAACATATTCGCAGCAGCTCTCTGCCCGATAATATTATTAAAAAATGCATATGTGCAATGCTGATATCGTAGCCCTTAGGGAATCTAACTGCACATTTTTTATTTTATTGCATATATGCAAGCCGATGCTTAGAAATTTTTTAATTTTTTTCTATAATTTTGCTAAAGCAACGAACAGTTTTGTACTCAATTTTGTTTTTAAAAGAAAATTTAAATTTTATAAATTATGTTTAAAGTTGTTTCATTCCCAGTTCTGTTTATAAACTCTTGGATGGAAAATGCGAATATTTATTTTTCGGTTTGAATTATCTTTACATTTTTATACCCTGAACCCATTGAAAATGGGTAAAAAGGGTATAATGTATTTGTGCAAATGTATGTAACAGGCAGAAGGAAGCATCTCCGACCCCATAAAGTATATACATTCTTGATCAGCATCAACAGCCGAGTCGATTTAGCCATGTCCGTCTGTCTGCCCGTCCGTCCGTCTGTCTGTCCGTCCGTATGTATGAACGCAAGGATTTCAGAACCTATAAGAGCTAGAGACTTGAAATTTAGCTGTAGGTCCTCCTAGTCCATGCGCAAATCGAGATTGTTTCCGATAATCGATAACTTGCGCCGGTTCCAAGTAATCGATAAAAATCGATATCGAAATCCTGTTTTTTTGAGTAATTTTGGTAAGTTATAAAAGCTAGAGTCACCAAACTTGACATGCAGCTTCTAAAATAGTATATATATATATATATATCAAGTATCTTTCATTTTATAGCTATCACCACCTCCCCGCTACTACCTTATAGCTATAAATCAAGTAAATAAACCAATTTATGCTGCCCATCAATATAAGCGTCATTTGAAATGCAATTGTCATTTCAAGAATACACGAATATTTTATAGTACAATAAGACGTAGAATTTCATCAAGATCGGTTAAGAAATACAGATATGATTAAAGAAAACGTGTTTTGGCTTTTCTCCTATTAGCGGCAGCAAGCGGAAATTCCCAGAATTTCTGTATACATGTACACACACACATTCATGCGCGTCGTTTTTGAATTCTTTCAACAGCATTGCAATTGCGATTGTATTTTTTTTTTTTTTTTTTTGTTTGTTTATTGTATTGAATCAAAAATAGCATAAATTTTTATTACAACACAGTTGGCTTAGGTGATATTACGCCAAGCCTGGTTGGGTCGTCAGGCTTTATCGTGGACAAACGTCAAAGGCGGCTTTTTGAGTAAGGCTGCATCGTCACGTAGGTAGTCGGGGGACTCTGGGGCGTCTCCTATGTCGTGGTTGGAGGAGGTCCTTGAACGATCTTCTCTTGAGCCTCCTGACTACACACCTCCCAGCGAGGTCTCTTGCTACCCGGCTGCAGTGTCGCTGCAAGCGTTCGCTGTACCGGTTGGCGAATGCTCCGACTTGGCTGTCTATGGTCTCCATTTTGAGGTCTCTGTGCAAGGTAGAATTTCTGACGTACCAGTCAGCACCCGTAATTCGGCGCAAGGCCAAGTTTTGGAGTGTCTGAATCCGTCTTCGATTTGTCCGAGATGCAATGCCCCAAACCTGAAGACCGTATCTCCAAGTATTGTATTGTTTTCTGTGCTGCTATTATAATTCGCTTTTTTTTCATTAAGAATTAATTATTGGAGTGGCTATTGGGTAGAGGCGGCGGAAGGTAGCGCGGCCAGTTACGAGTTCGAACCCTGCCCTAGCGCGAACTGCATTTGGTGTTGGAATAAGAGGGTTCAGGGTATCCCTTAGTCAGGAGCTCCCGACTAGAACCTCTTACTTGTTTTGTCTTTTGATGTATGGACTCAATTGAGAATCGTTTTTAAACGTGAAAGTCTTAAAACGCTCGAAAACCAAATGTATGCATAAGAAGGACTATGATAAATGTCAAAAAAGTAAGAATAATAAACATGTTTATTGTTTTCCCTAGTTATTCTAGCTCCATTTTCATTCACAGCAAAAGCAAAACAAATAATAAAAATAAAACTGAAATAAAAATATTTAAACACAGAATTTAACTGCAAATATGGCCAAGAAGTGCACATAAACACAGTAATGCTGTAAAATATATTATATACTCTATAATAACTATAAAGAGACGAATGTTCCAAAATATCACTCATACGCAGCGTGCAAACTGCAGTAAAAACTGAAAACTCAATGTCTAACGCATATTTTAAGCTCACACAAATGGTGCATAAAACAAGGCACTGTAATAATGAAAAAAATATATAAAGAGCAAATGCTAAAAGAAAACACCAAAAGTATGTAAACAGGTGAAAACATTTTTCTTTATGGCGTCGCTTTCGCGTTAAAGAAACTAACAGCAAAGAAAATGCATGAGGCGGAAAATTTGCGTTGGAGCTCGGCGAAGTCTGCCATAAAAATGATTTAATATGCGTTTTATATGAGAAAAGTTTTGCAATTTTTGCGCATTAAATGTCGGCCGCTCTCACTTGACATTTGACGCCACCGAAATAAATAAAAAATTGCAACTTTTTAAAGTTAAAGTCTAACTTTAAGCAACCTGCCAGTTAATTATGCAGCTAGCTGGCAGCTGGAGTTAAGCAATCGAAAAGTTTCTGCACCGGAAGTTGTCTTCCCGAAATTAAATCTAATTGAATTGTAAACTTTCGCCTTTGTTGGCGTTTATTGAGCTGCCATTTTGGCCAAATGTGATTACAATGGAGCTGTAGATGTGTCCCACACTTGGGCATTATTCACTTGTCACTTGTACGACACGCCTTTGCCGGGGCCCATGGGGAGTCACCGGCTAATCAGAGGCTTTGTTGCCCGCACAAAAGCCGAACAAGTGAAAAGTTTGCACTTATTGAATTTAGCGCAAAGTGTAGCAAAATGTTTCGCTTGCCTATTAGAAAGTTCCTGGCCAAAATTGAAATTCCATTGCTGTCACTCTACAAAGCGCGTTCGCCCATCCCGGACAAAGCAGCTGCCTTTAATGTGATATACATAAAC